AGTTTTTTTAGCAAATTAACAATCAACAAAATTAATAGATAGAGTATATTTAAATATCAGGTACCTGAACATATGTCGGCAAAAATCGGATATGAGGATGGCAGCCCCGCAGGATAGTCATATAGAAATCAATGAGTGACGAATTCAACTCCGACCCGAACAAAAGAGAGCACATCGATTTCCCTCGAACCACAACTCGGTCATTGCTCCACACAATTTTGCTACCAAAATTTGTAATTTAAATTAGTATGATATAACGTCATTTCGGTTACCTCAATTGATCGCTTGCCAAAAACGACTGGATGACTGCAACATCCTCTTCCGGGACAACCCCGTGTCCGCAGAAATCCTCTCTGCCTCTGTATTCATTCAGCAAACAATCCTCATCGTCGTCATTCTTGTCACTCTCCTACATTACAAAATAGTTACTTATATGAAAACAACACGAATAATCAAATGAATTACAAACATAAAATTGCTACTTTAATTACCTCATCATCATCCAAGGTCACCAAGTGCTCTTGCTTTTTTTTTTTCTTCTGCCTTCTTTGCCTCTTCTGCCTCTTCGGACCGGATGACGGAGGGGTCATAAAATCCACCGGCTTCGTCGTCTTCTTTATCCCTTCCCTCTCCCGAACCCTCTTCACCATTGAGGAGGGTTGTTGTTTCTCCTCCACCCTCGAACCAGCAGCCGACCCCTCTATCAAACCAGCATCCGATCCCTCCATCAAACCAGCATCCTCGACTAACAGGTTTACAAGTCGGTCCAAGTTATCACACTCAGCCACATCTTCATTGTCATCCACAACAGGTTCTTTCTCAACAATCATCAGAGCCCATCGTTCCTCCTTCTTTTCCTCCTCTTTTTCATCACACTCTTTTTCCTCCTCCTTTTCATCGCACTGTTTTTCCTCCTCATCTCTTTCCTCCTCCTCTCTTTCCTCCTCTATTTCCTCCTGTTTTTCCTCCTCTTTTTCCTCAGCAAAACAAACACCATCACCACCATCAGCCTCATTTTCCTCACTTTTTTCCTCTCTTTCTTTTTCTTCATTCTTTCTTTCTCTCCATTGAGACTCCAACAATTCAATTTGTTTTCTAAGTTTGTCGTTCTCAAGACAAACCATGGCAAACAACCGGCTCTCAAAAGGTCCCTGTACATGAAAGAAAACAGAAATTAGAAAGAAAAAATAAATTAAAAGGTTTCTTGTACCTAATGCTAAAACACAAATTCTGGACAGAAATTAAAGGAAAACCTGGGCTTCCACAAACGCACGCTCTTCCATAACACGCGATATCGAGTACACCTGCAAAGCAAAATCATAATGATTTAGGTACAAAATCAATTAACCAAAAAGATAAAAAGAAGAAGTACAAAACACATATTATAAGTTTATATAAATTACCTTATGCCTCATTATTTTTTTAAGGGAATGTAAAGACCCTTGAAATGTAGACGGCATTGTGCTCCCCGTCCATCGAAATAGACGGGGAATTGCCTCGAGCGTCGAACGTTTGCCCAGAGAAGGCACACGTTCGTACAACCAAGCCTACACACATACACATGATGTCAAAATTATACAATCTCACAATTTAATATTATTGTATTACGACATTGAATATACATACCATCAGCCCAACCACACATCCGTCAAAGTAAGCTCGGTCTGTTGAATCACCGTGGCGAACAAGCGCTGCAAGCAAGAATTTATGAGTCGCATCTCCCCATGCGTACTCACAAATTCGACTCACATCCTCCAGGTAAGGGTAAACAAACCTGGGGATCGAGTAACTCGAGCAAGGAAACAAAATACAACTAAAAACTAACAAACTATACATTCTGATAAAGTCGTCTATACGACTTTCATCAACAGAAAACTTTTGTAACAAATCTACTACATGCTTTCTTTTTAAAAATTTTTGACCTGCTCGACCCCAACCTTCGAATAGGGCTTTCGAATCTAAAGAAAGGTCTAAGTCTACGCTTAGACCGCCCTGTCGAAGCCCCATCGTTACACAGAACTCGGCGGGGTCAAAAATAAGAGACACATTATCACTTACCACAAAGGCATTCACATCTGCCTTGTATGTGCTAATTAAGGCCTCCACTCTACCATGTAACACCGCTATATCAGGCATATTTAGAAAAAAATAAAACGGACTCTTTTGAAGAGCCTCCTTGTGCTGGTCAGAAAGCACGGCAACTGTCCTGTCCATTATATCTCTAAAGAACGACGGGGCACATCAACATCTAAATTCCGTGCCCTATCACAAACAAAGAGATTTGTGAGGAAAAAGATGTTATATGTACAAGTTTCAAAACATTGAATACATCATACATTCAGTACATTCAATACAAGACCCTCTGCTCCCTAATTTCGAAAACAAAAGAAACAAAAAAAAAAAAAACAAATACCAACAGAAATTCACACAAATTCATATACAGAAAAGCCCTAATTTCGACTTCACATAAAAATTTTCGAATTCACAGAAATTCACAAAGATTCATTTACACACAAAGACCATAATTTCGAATTCAAGCCCTAAATTGAAAAGACCCTAATTTTCGAATTCAACCTTAATTCACAGAAATTTAATAATTTCAAATTCAAAGAAATTCACAAAAATTCAATTACACACAAAGACCCTAATTTCAAATTCAACCCCTAAATTGAAAAGAAACCCTAATTTTCGATTTAACCCCTAATTCACAGAAATTCAATAATTTCGAATTCAAAGAAATTTACAAAAAAAATTCAATTAAACACAAAGACCCTAATTTCGAATTCAAGCCTTAAATTGAAAAAACCCTAATTTTCAAATTCAACTCCTAAATTGAAAAAAAAAAATAAAAACTCTAATATTTTGAACAAACCCCAAAAATCTGAATTTACCTTTGAGCTTGGTAATGCCTTCGTGGGTGTCGAGGAGGACGGTTTGCATGGAGACTTCTTTTTGGAGCCGGCCATTTCTTCACAGAGATGGCGAAGTGACGGAGAAAGAGAGAGACGAAGATGGCGGGCGATGGTGATTAACGAACAGAGAGAGAGAGCGCAGAGGTGGCGATGGCGATGTCGATGAAAAAACGAACAGAAAGAGAGAAGAGACCGGCGGCGAAAAAACGAGCAGAGAGAGAGAAGAGAGCGGCGACAAAAAGTGAGAATAACCGAGGAGAGAAAGAGAAAGTTTACTTTATGAATAAAATGGCAAAATAAATGAATAATAAAAACCTTTCTTTATATAAGGGGAGTGAAGTGGAAGAACAAAATTAGGGGTGGGGAGTGCAGAGGAAAATAATTTAAGGGGGGACTGATTTGGAAGTTCAAAAAGGGGTAAGGGATTTAAGTAGAATTTACCGTTTTATTATTATGAAAAATTGTATATTACCATTAGATACTAACTGTTTAATTATTATTATTATTATTATTATTATTATTATTATTATTATTATTACTATTATTAAAATAATTGTTTATAAGATTTTAAAGTTGTCTGACTATGCTATTAAAATAATTTACTAATTGTTTTTAAGGAAATTTTTCCATGAGATACAAAAGAAAAAGATAATATTGATGTTAAAATAAATAACTTAAAACAATTGTTCTTAATTATGTAATTTATATTTATTGTGAATTATTATTAGTTGGTATTAGCAATAACTATTATATAATATAATAGAAAAATACATGATTATACTCATTATGATGTATTAATGTGAGAAATAAAAAATATTAATAATAATTTTTGTAACCGAAAATGGAGGGAAAATGTTAGAAGTTTTATTAAATAGGTAAAATTAAATGCTATATGCTAGCAATTATATATATATAGATATGTCTATTATAAAATTAATTAAGTCCTTAAATACAATTTTTATCAGCTTTTTTCAGCAATATTTCAGCAATATTTTATAGTTAGAAACGTACGTTGTCAATAAATATATATTTTGTTAGTATTTTTTTTGAGTCTGGAGATTTTGGATGATAATTAATGCCTCATTCATTGAAATTCATGTCTATTGATACCAAATTCAACCGTCATTGCTTTTGTTTCTTTATCCACAGGCCACAGCCACAAAGAATGCATTCATGGAAACATACCATTATTCAATTATCTTTTATACTAGTATTCATCTTGTGCGCATGCGTAGAAACAGTCGAGACATAGTAGACTTGTTGGTAGAGGCGAGCCAACAGCCAAGGCATTAATTTAACTAAGATATTGTCGTATCTAATTTAAGAGAGTGTATTCAATTGAGATTTCTAAAAGTTTTTTAAGACTTCAAAAACTCCAGTGTATTTAATTTTTCTCAAGACTTTTAAAGTTTTGAAGTATTGATTTGAGAAAAGTCATACAAAATGTGAGATATTTAACTTTTGAAAGTATGCTTTATTAAGACTTTTCAAGATTCCATGCGATTTCTAAAGAAAAAAAAAAAAAACATATACAAAATCTCAATACATATCTTACCTCCACACTAAAAATTTCATAAGACTCCAATCTAAAAATCGTAAAAAATCTCAAATCTCAAAAAGTCTATGAACAAAAAATTGGAGTTAGAGTACAACGAAATTCTTTCCTTTCATAAAACCTTCATGGATGGGTAAAAAAACATGCAGACTAAAGAAAGCATAACACAAAAAGAACCATGTGAAGTAAAAAAAAAAAAATGGGTAGAGTTTGGGGTCACATTAACAATTTCCCTCACCAACTTAACCTATGCATCTAAAATGCCACAAAGAGCCTGCGAAATAAGGGTAGCCACGTTTTCATCTCCGCTGGAAATTGACGTTTTTGCCCCCGTGACTTCGACAACGGCTTTGCCAGGCTCCGTCACCGTGATGAGGGAACCCGTGTGGGTCCCATCCGCACCCACCACTTCCTCCACCACCGGATTCATACCCAATTTTTTAAGAGCCATCAAAAGGGCATTCAAGTTCACTCCTCCAAAACGCAATGCCTCTGGCTTTGGCCGGGACACGACTTGCTCGTTTCCAGCGAGTAACCTGTATTTCCCTTGCTCCATCAGCAGCTCTCCCTTCAGTTTAGCAATGTCCACGTCTTGTTGTTTTAGTGTCGTGTATTTGAGCTGGCAGGCCAACTCTATAGAGATGTTGAATTCCGAGTACTCCTTTGTGTAAGGGATGTGTAGCGTCTCGTTTTCATGGTAGTAGCTGACAGAAAACGAAGTTTCAAGAGAACTCATATGCTGCTTGAGGATATTGGGAAACTGTTCGTAGGCAGAAAACACACCGGCTTAAGGATGAAGGCATTAATTAAGCCAGTAAAGAAGGGGTTATGAAACAGATATCTTTACCAGAACATGTTTAGGTTGTAATATCTGCAGTAGACGGCGAGAAATTTGCAGCCTGACAACAACAACAATATGGAAGTATTTAGATGCATCGAATGAATATAACTTCATTTATCTGGTGTCGACATGCATAATGACAAAGTTCAAGTTGCCCCAATCACATCAAGGCTACTATTAAGCTGCATCCAATATGCAATAACACATCCTTTTCAGGTTATTTCAATTTCCCTCATTTCTGGAAAGAAAAAAAAAAAAAAACATCTTCCCAAGATTTTAAGTAGAGAAAGTATCTTTCTGAGGTGCATAAAGTGCACTCTAAAGCTTGTAATTTGTAAATTCAAGTTCGTCTTTGCTTACGAAAAACAACGACAATTCTTATACATACTTGTGTACATAAAAAGTGAAAAGTTTAGCACAGTTTAGGGGTTCCCAGCATCAAAAAGTAAACATCACAAACAAGACCAAACTCAAAGCAGAAGGTGTATAATGTTTGAGAATTTACTAACTCAAACGATAAACAGAAGAAACCAACTTACTGCAATCCTGAGAGGAAAGAACACTGGAGAACTTTCATTGCCATTGGCTTGAAAGGCAAGAAAGCCAGACTGGCATCCACCCCGTCCTGTAAATATACGCGTAACGTTGAAAATAAAATATAACAATACCAGAAGTAAATAGCAATTTCTTGAACTCCATCAAAGTGCTCAAGCTAATTATGGTAGATGACAAAATAAATTGATCTTCCATTTCAAGGTATATATTGTGATGTAGGCACCTCCATAACAAGTAGTGAATTTGGATCCCCACACCATCTCCGGAGCAAATGAATAGCAGGTCCAAGTCGTAGACTCCAGTGGGGACAAAATACTATGCAAGGTTCCTGCCAAATTTTTCTGTCTTCATAATATCAGCAAGCAATGTAATCATTGCAATAAAATTATCGCACACAGAAATTATCGTCTAAATATTGGACCTATTTATTTCTTAGGAATTCGGAATTCAAATCCTTCTCCAAAGAGAAAATGAAAGCAAATTGTAAATTATCTCTACCAAAGTCACAAACAATTTTAAAATTGACTTGTTTCTAACTTACAAAACGGGGACTTTCTTTACATCTAATCACAGCCAATATCCAAAAATCCAAAAATAAACAGAAAAGATAAACTTCTGAGATTCTAGAAGGAGCTGCTGCTTATCACATGCAAGGGATTCATATATCTTACAAAAGTTCGGCAGAATGAATGGCAGGAAACAAATGAAGCCTTCCATCTTTTAGCATCTCTGAATGAGCAAATAATTGTTGACCACAGTAGAGCTGTAATAATGGAACAAGGGGAAACAAATTTTATCGTCCTGTGGCTTGCTAGTCAGTAAAACCAAGATTTCAAATACGTTCAGAAAAATCTTCAATTTGACATACACGATCTTGCAGTTGCTTGCATAACCACTCTGGTATAATATTTGTGAATGCCATAAGCTCTTCGGCAACAGATGAAATCACAAAAATGGGGACCTGCAACACAGTGGTTGAAGATTGTTTGAGAAATGAAAAAGGAAAATAACTTGAAAACGGAGCTTTTAATATGAATAATGCATCAAGTCTCAGTATTGCCTTATAATGTATTCAAGAATAATAGTATGCAACGTAGTAAAACAGTATACTGTTCACCTTTATGAGCTAAAAATAACATATATTGCAAATCGGTGCAAGATATAAATGAATGCTTCATATTTATGCCATTGGTCAGTGAATCGGAAAATCAGGGTACAAAACTACACCTCTTTCAAACCAAAAATCTATGGTTCTCCATACTCTTATGATGGAAAAAGGAAACTGGCTCGACAATCAAACGTTGTTTTGTATTAATTATTAGGACTTGAAAATGGAAAGATTCAACATTAAATACACCATATCATTCTTCAATAGTAAAAACATGTCTCCTGTATTTTTTGCATTTAAAAGTGTACCTTCATGTTTGCAGATGACAAATTGAGTGCAAAACGGTCCAACAGCTGCAAAATGACCCCAAGGCGTCCAATAGGGATTAGAACTGAACCCCCTGCTTTTATAGAGTCCACCGAGCAAGAACATATGAAATCCAATTTCTCCATCTCCTCCAAGTACTCATCATCATTAAGGAGAGTGGCACTTGTAACAATATCATCACTGCAGGATAGATTGCAAGTTCAAATAAGTTCAAATCCAAATGAGAAGAAAACTAGTCAAACAACAATATTACTCTAATTCCCTATGCCTCCTTATAAATAAATGCCGAGTTCCCAAACCTATGTGTAGATTTCTGGTGCTTCATAATCCTATGTGTAAATTTATGGTACTTTGGAATGTTAGACATAGATATAAAATTCTATCCATTTTTATTAGGTCTTTCGATATTATTAAACACCCGACTAACTCAGATTATAAATATATTTTAAAATTAAAAAATTGTTATTTGTTATCATATTTTTATATAATCAAATTACCAACACGAGACGAGCTTCGATATATAATATGGATTAAAAAAATACCTATCAATATTAATTGATTGACTTAAGATCATATATAATTTTTTATCTATAAATATTAATTGGAATAGTAAAAATTATTTATTTATCTATCAAGTCCATTATACAATATGGACTAAAAAAATATCTATCAATATTAACTGATTGATTTAAGATCAATATTAAACTATCTATAAATATTAATTGGAATATTATAAAACTATTTATTTATCTATCAAGTCTATTATACAATATAAATTAGAAAAAGTATTATAATATGGAAGGGCTAAACCGTACAAGTGACAAGTGTCATCTTAATTAATAATAATAATGTAATATTTTGAGAATTGTTTGAAACTTAAAACAAAAACTTCTCTTCCTATTTTTTTTTTTTTAAAAAAAAATAGGTATACATTTTGTTCAGCACTCATGTAATACAAGGGTGTATGTACTCTACTAACTTGGCTGTGAATTTAGAGAGAATCATCAGAAGAATTGGCTAACTTTTTGCTTTGAAAAATTTATTTTCTTTAGAGAATAATAATAGAAAAATGAAATTAGGATGATGACATTTCGGGACCGTAATTGAATATGAAATAAAAATTGATAATAAATTAATAATAAAGTAATGATTGGTTAAAAATTGTAAGCATTATATAAGTAAATCAATATGAGAGAATATAAAAGAGAACGAATAATGCACCTTATTGAAAATATGCAAAGGAATCCACATGTTATGGTAAAATATTTAGTGAAACTTTCACAAAAATAAAAATATTTAGTGAAACAAAGTAAAAAAAATTGGTAACCTCAGCACGATGTAAATGATTTAACCTTTTCCATAAACATAGGCTAAGCAATCAAATGGTAAACTGACCTCAAACTTGAAACGTGGTCAACACCAGCACCGGAGCAATTATTATCATCGTCGACTTTGTCTGTGGCAATTTGCGAAGAGAAATCTGAATACATGATCACATCCATTCTCTGAAGGGCCTTGTAATCGAACCCCATTGCCGTGGTTGATGAGAAGACAGAATTTGAAACATAAGCAATACTTCCTTTTGGACTAGAGATACTCCAATTGCATGAGCCTATTTCTAAACCAGAACTAAATGGTTTCACAATCAGCATGCCATTGTAGCAAGCTTCTTCAGCAAACTTAAGAGATTGAACCTTTGACATGCAAGCCTTCACATCAGCTGCACTGAGAAATATTTCTCATTACATCTTGAAACACAAGGTCTTCAAAAAACACTAATTAATACTTCAAATTTCGGAAATCAAAATTTTATTAACATATAAGAGAAAAATAAGTAAGCAAGGCTAGCGAGCACTGAAAAACATATCCAGATAATTCCAAAACAGATAAATGTGAACACAAGACGTATACCTGTATAATGGCATCCAACCACCAAACGCCGTCCCATCAGCACCACAAATGACCAGCCTCAACTCCAATGGAAGCAACTCAAGTTCATCCCACTTCATCCACTGAGGCGCATCACATTCTGCAGGCCCATAAAATTGCCTAAACTCCATATGCATGTTCACAAGATCCTCCATCATCAGTTGCCCAATTCTAGCAGCAGCCTCAGTTGCGTACACCTAGACCACCACACATACCAAAGACAATCATATTGTGCTCACTGGAAAACAAGAATAATGAAATAAACCACAGAGAGAATAACCGTAAGTGCCACGTCTACCTTAGCCGAAAAATCTCTGTTCCGTGTAAGATAGGGTAACCCCAGCATGCCCATAGGACTAGATATCAAAACTACATCAATAAATGAGATATCCCATAAAAGCAAGTTCTTGACCATTCTATATCGGGGTAAGGCGTGAATTAAACTGGTTGCATCTAGGGATTTGTCAATTTTCAACCTTTCTCCTTCAGTTGAGCTGGAACCCACGTTATTTTCACAAGAACAGGGAAAATGATCTTCGTTATCTATTGTGCTTGTATGCCATAGAACAGGAGAAAAGACTGTTAGGGACGAGAGGTCCATGGGACAATCAAACAAAACCCTGAAGCCAAAAATATCCACAATGTGGCATGGCGGGAAGTGAAAACCTTTCCCCTCGCTCAAGCATGTCTGAAATCAGAAACAGCAAGCAAACCCAATCAAAAGTTGCAGTGCATAAACTCAAAGACAGTAAAAACCCAAATCCAGTGACAACTAAAACTGAAGATAGATCTGAAGTATCCACACCACAATCAAATTTATAAAGCAAAGTCAAGCCAACGTGTAGAGACTTACAAACTCCATTAGAGCTGAGAAGTGCAAAAATCAGTGAAGACAAGCTGTCAAGCAAATAGTCCAAATTTGCTCAAACAACCTCCCTAGGTGAATCTCCCAATATAATGAAGTCCCCAGTTTTTTTAAGCACTCCCCAGAATTAGCCCAAATTTGCTCCAACAACCTGCCCAGGTCACCATCAGGGCTAGTTGCTAGTTGCTGTGATCACAATGGCATGAGAGAAGTATACAGCCATCAATTGTGAGCCTCCCACTCCTATGAAACAGGCAGCAACAGAGATCTGCCCTCACGGTCAAATTACACAGTTTGCATGTCGACAACAACTCAAGAGCACTGCAGAACAGAATACCAACACACAAGAAATTGCGGTAACCAGTAAAGAATTGCAACATAGAATTAACTTCTGGGAGAGCCACAAAGATGCAACTAGTATTGCATGAACATACACACATGTTAAAGGCACAACAAACTGGAACACTGCAACCCTCTCAGAGCCACGAAGCAGATGATTGTGGTATCATCAGGAAGGTCACCTGAACCATCTGAGAGGGTGGGAAAGGGTAAAAATTAGGTATGCCATAGTATTACCTGTAACATGATATAAGATAAGGGCCAGAAGCTAATGTCTTTGCCTTAACACAAAAGAACATATACAAGGAAAAAAATCCTGACCCTTGGTCTCGCTTCCAGATATATACATGATATGCAATACATTATTGCAACTAGAAATAGTGCAAAGAAACAGTATTGGCTACTAAATGTAATTTCCATCCAACACATTCCACTTTCTACACTGATATGTAATTAAGAAGCTTATTTGATTTTTGCAGCTTATGCAGATCAAAACAGGGAGGTGATTGTAACGCCCCAATTCTAAAAGGTATTTTGGAAATTTTAAAGGGCGTTAACGGAGTTTGAAAATCTTTATACTTTGAAATTTCTAAGTTTTTCGTATAAATTTTCAAAAACACTTGTCAATCAAACTCATCATGTTCATATCTAAAACCAAGTCAATTAAATGAATAAACATCTCATCATTTCAACTCAAAAATCATGCTAGGCAATTAAACCGAAACACCCATTCAACGCACATTCAAGGTAATAACAGACATAGCAATAGTAACAACCATACTCTACTTTCGCCCGAAGGCCAAGTCTCAAGGTGTCAACTGCTCACAGCTCGAAAGCCGGTCCTCATGTAATCTCCTATAGTCAGCCCCAAAGTCCGAAGGCAAATGTAACTTACTGTAAATTCTGACTGCCAATGCTTACCGTCAATTCTTTCTATCCATTCTTACTGTCATTTCTTACTGTTTATTCTTACTGTCAATTCATTGCCCGCAGGCAAGGCAACATGTATATACAACAATAAAGATAACATGAAATTAAAATGGTCAAGTGTAGAGAAAACTCCACCTTATTTGCAGAATGAATGACTGAAAGCTCGGTGATCTTCTCGAGGACTCGGGGGTCTCACCGGAAAAAATGGAATTAAGGGCTCGGATTGCTTGAAAGGGCTCGGGGGTCTCGGCTTTCGGAAAAACTCCTGATGTCGCGGACCAAAAGCTGGCTTTCGGATGCTGCTCGCTTGCTCTCGGGCTCTGCCGCCGCAGCTCTCGGCCTGCTCTAAGCCTCGGGTCGCTACTCTCCAGACAAGTCGCGGCGCTGGGATTTTTCGACTACGGTCTCCAGCTCTCGTCTCGGTCACGGTAAGGCCAGTTCTCAGCCACGGTGGTGCTCGGGTCCGACTCGCCGGCAAACTGGTGGGTCTCGGCTGCTCCTCTGTCCGGTGGTCTTCGACTCGCCGTGAATGGCCTGGTGCTCTCGGCGCTGGTCTGGTCCTCGAAGAATCCTGTCCTCGTCGCCGGAACCAGGGCTCAGCCGCAAGGTCACCGCCTCCTTGGGTCGCCGGAACCTTCTTGTCTCGTCTCCGGTCGCTGCTTGTTCCTCAGCCGTGCCTGGTATTGGGTCTGGCGGCTCTCAGTCGCCGGTGTGCACTGGTTTCTCGTCGCGGCTGGTGCTAATGGCCGAGAGAGAAGGTGGAACGTTTGAGGGGAGTTGAGTAGAAATATTGGGAAACGCTACGGTCCGACTTGTGACTTGTGAGTTGTATGTTGCTAGGCTTTGAATAGGGAATGCTTGGGCTGCTGGGACAGATGCTTGGGCCGAGATTTTATGAGCTGCTGGGGAAGATGCTTGGGCCGAAATTTTATGGGCTGCTGGGGAAGATGCTTGGGCCGACATTTCCCGTGGGAGTTGGGGCGAAAATTCTTAACTGCCACGTAATTAAAAATGTATTCCAGAAAAGGGCTAGCCGATTAGAATTCCATAAATACAACTTTTTGTAACTGTTCAATGATTTTGAAATAACAACCGTAATTAATTAAAACAGGGGAAAGAAAATAAAATTTGAAAAAAGTAACTGCTGCACTTTTTATGTAAACACAAAAAAAA